GGACAAGGTGCGTTTCTATAAGTCTTCCTACCATTATGACCAAGTTACGAAAACAAGGTCAAACAACTTCAATCTAATCGATTGTTATATCAAAAATACATTTGCTTCATCGATTATCTCACCAAATAATGTTATATGGAAAAAAACCTAGCGTTCCTTGAAATTCACATCTGTCTTGTGACCCAAGGGCACTCGTAGCAATGTGGCTGAGTGGCTAACGTGTCAAGCTCACATTCTGCACTCTCACGGTTCGATTCTCGTAGTGGTGTTGATAAGATCTAAGCGATGTCGAAACTGCAGTCCACCCTGGATAAGAACAACTTTTAGGAAAGCAAGACCATGTGAAATTCAATGGAATCGTCAACTCTACTCATCATTAAGGGATGATTTAACTACCCGTTCTTTATTACTCTAAAGGATGTAGGATTAATGCATCTCATATTACAAAACATAATTATAGGAAATAATTTTGGTGAAAACTTTTGAAATCCCCTTAGTAATGTTAAAATTTAGCACTATAAATTCTCATTGGATCCAAATGTGATTTTAATATATGATCCTTTATCATTCATCGTTCTGCCTTCCGCGTAACAATTTGTCCTCATTATGTTACATCTTTGTCCATTTTTTCTTTCTTTTCTCCCATCTAAATTGATAACGAATCAAGTCGCCATAATGAGCTACCAGACTTCTCGGAAAAAGTATCATTGATCGGACATACAGACAATTCGCATGTCTTAAATAAACTCCGATCGCGAAACAACCTTGCTAAGGAGGACACCAGTGAGTGCTAATTCCGTTAATTTCTTGAAACTAGATTATGACCCTGCACTTTATGATTTATGCCATTTTCCTTGCAGAAGATAACATATAACTGAGCTTTTATGATATTTAAAAAGTGATTGTCTTTTATAAAGCTGCATGATCACTTATCTTGACGGAAGTCAAATTGGTGAAATATGGCAATAAATTCTATTTCTCTATAATTTATTTAATGATAGAGCGTCATTTGATCAACCTAATCAAAACAATTAGAACCACAACATTTATGGGTTAGTACATAAGAGACTAGGGTATAGGAAATAATAGACTTGACACTATGGATGAAAGCACCATAGATGCAGTGGATACTAGATATAGTGGGCTAACAGTAGACGTGTTTGATCATAGACGTGGTCTATGAAGCTAAGGCTTGACCATGAGAATTACTCGGGTTCTTTTGCCCCAAGTTAGTCTCCCATTCAGCGTGAAGATCCTGATTTTTAGGGGCCTACTCAGCAAGGCGAGAGTATGCGTGGCATTAAACACTCGAGACAGTGGAAACTAACACTTCGCGTAGTACAGATAAGGTGGCAGAGGTCGAGTAAAATACCATAATCAGGGAGGAAGACTCTGATAAGACCTATAGAAAGAGGATTGCGGAATTATTTAGCGTACTCTGATCAACATTCCCAACGCAAGGGTTAAGGAGGAGTGAGAAAGCCAGTGTGGGGTGTGGGGAGTTTCATGAAATTTTCTCAAAAGGACACACCATACCACATTTAAATAAGCTATTGATAAATTGTGACAGTAGTGGGGTGACACGAGGATATAGGATTTGTGAATATCCCAGGGTAGATGGAGAGATACCACTATTCTTTAGCAGACAATTGGTCAAAGGATCGGCTTCGCTTGTCTCTGACGAGTTGTAGTGTGGTGCTAAGACTGGCAAGTCTCACTGACGATGCTAGCAAAACGTCTGGGAATGTACCACGTCCGCGGTCAGACTCTGGAAATTATCATGCATACTATGAACTCCGGACTAGGTCTTCCTACCAATATGATCAAGCTGCGAGAACAAGGTCAAACAACTTCTATATAACCAAAGGAGACTACTACCATACAAGGACCCCAACATCTTGGTATTCATATCTTCAACATCATTTAAACTTTTAAATCAAATTGTATTTTATGTTCTTAGGTATCAGATTTAATTCGGGAAAATATAGTTATACTAAAGCTTATGTTTCGAGTAATCCTTATTTTTTGCTAATTGTCTTCAAATTATTTTAACTTTGTTTTCTTGAAAACCGATTCTTATTGTTGAAATACTTTTAGTTCTACGAACTTCCCAACCTTTCTCGCTATTTACTCTTGTTAGCTTGCGACTTTCCTTTTGAGCCACCAAGCCTATTGCGCAGCTCTGTACGTCGTCAGAAATCCGTTTCTGAAAAACGTCGGCATCAACTGCTCCAGAAACGGAACGCCTTGTCCACAGGTCTATCGCCCCATCCTGCTCCCGCAATCTCTAGCACATCACCAAGCGAAAGCAGTGACGTCGACGAACAAACTGGTGTAGATTACAGTTAGTCAAACAATTTTTCATTCAGCTATCAATCTATTTATTTCAATGATTCTAGCTATTTACGCAAAAATCCCAAAGGTATCAATGCTATCACATACGTACCTGAGTTTCGAATAATGAAAAGTTGCGGTAAATTTCTGTTGTCTGCTTACAAAGTTCTGTACTTCTACAGCAGTATTATCCTAAGTTATCCAATGAGCCAAAATCATGGATTTTTAATTTTATTGTATCTGTAGAAAACCATAAAACTCTTGGTGCTCATGATCTTATGATAGACTATTGTGCTCCACTTATTATATATCCTTTTCATGATTTATCTTTTAATGCTAAGAGAGGCTTTTCTATTTGATGACAATTACAGTGTGAATATTTTACCCATTAATTAAGCATGAATTACAATCTTGATATTTATGTAATTATGTTAAAGGCGTGAAACGTATCTGAGCATAATTTAAATAATGATAATAGGCCTACGCGCCTTCAATTCAAGTCCCCGTTTACGAGGATTTCGAGCCGGTGATACTGATGCCTATACATTATCATATCCCTATCCTTCAGGCTCATCATTCAGTTATCCTCTTTCCCATCCCACTCTCATTGTATCTCATTCTTTGGGGTCCTGTCTCCGGAATAATTCGGAACCGCTTGTGTGAAAATATTCCGGTTTCGTTTTTCCACTCTTGAATAGCATAAAGAAAACTCTTGTCTCTCAAATTGAGAGCCCAATTTACGCCCAAGGTATTAGTCAGTTGTTCATGTGTACATTGTTTGTTATCCCCGCTTTTTGGTCATACACCTCTTATTGATGTACACAACCGAAAATGCCCATAAGAACACACACACACTGATAACCTGCAAACTTGTATCCTTAGCTCAGCACCTCTAATGGAGCATAATCTGCCTGTTTCAGGCCTTTACTCTCTTATCCCACATCCCACAGGTGAGCCCAACAGTAAATTTTCAGACTTATTCCAGGTTTGACTGCTCTCAGTGCAATCGCTTTTTCTTGATTTTCGTTTGGGCCACATGATCCTCTACTTGGCGAAGTATCTTCCTGTTGTTGAATAGTTGTATTGGGTTCAAGCGTCTTTTATATGTCTTCACTGAATCTCCAAGCCTTTCTAGGAAGTACACGAAATTATCGCTGACTGTACCCTCTTCCAATTTCCCGTTCATCATTATTCTTTGAAGCAGAATGTTCACAACCTCCCTAATCTTCCGTTTCCTTTTTGTTTTCTCCATAGCAGGCCAGTATTTCCGTTTCATTCCAGTCAATTGTGTGGCCGATAAGGGCGATGTGTTCATCTATCTCCGATCGTTCAGTATCCATTTTTCTGCATATTCGCTTGTGTTCTTTGATCCTTGTGCAAATTATCCCTCACCTCTGATGCAATTTTGTTTCAATTCCTTGTAATTTATGCTGTAAACTCCTGAGGACTCCATTTTGTTGACTTCTTCATGTGGCCTGGTCAAGCGAGTGAAGATTGTTGTATTTTCCTTCAGGATTGTACGAATGTTA